TCCCATGGTAATTAAGTTGACCATTGTAAAAACTAGTGAGTTAAGCCTGTATTATTTGATTTTCTACCTAATCGTTTATTAATGACTCGTTCAAATATCATGCTAACTATATGAAAATATTTTTTTAATCTTAGAAGCTAAGAACTACAAATTTTGAGGTTTCTTTTAAACAAGGCCAGCATTCAGTAGCTAAAAATAAAGTCTTATCACAGGCTTTATATTATCCCATTAAAATCTCATGGATTTTCAATCAATGCTACAAAAATTAACTTTTATTGTCTATTTCCCTCTAAAATACTGTAATCCCATAAAATGAAGCCAACTAAATAGCATAAACAAGTCAAAGCATAAATTGAGTAAAATTTTACAATTTCCCTTCAGAAGTTTATAAAAAAAAAAACATTTCTAAACAATAATTCTTCCAAGCTGGCCTGGGCATGAAATAAACATGAGAAGAGATTCAAATCTTTTTAAAGCTATTAGGAGCCAGGCAGGCACTGGTGGCTCACACTTGAAATCCTAGCTACTCAGGAGGCTGAGATTGAGGATCGAAGTTTGAAGCCGGCCTGGGCAGAAAAGTCCCTGTGAGACTCTCATCTCCAATTAGCCACTCAAAAACCAGAAGTAAAGCTGTGGCTCAAAGGTAGAGGGCTAGCCTTAAGCAATACAAACTCAGGGACAGCACCTACGCTCAGAGTTCAAGCCCCAGAACAGACAAAAACAAAAACAAAATAACAACAAAAAAAAACTATTAGAAGCTGATTTTACATGTTACCTCATTTTTCACAATAACCCTATGGGTTAGGTGCAAGTATTACAATATTTGATGCAAGAGGAATCTGAAACAGAGTTTAGGTATTTGCAAATGCTTATTCATGGCCAGGTGTCAGTGTCTTATTCCTGTAATTCCAGCTACTCAGTAGGTAAAGATTGAGGATCCTCAATGCTTTCACAAAGGAATCATTCATATGTCCTATAAGTGTTTACAATGCTAAGACAAACTGACACTGCTTTTATTACAATCACTCTCAACAGGCTTCTTAAGAAAAAGGAACAGGAAACGAGAAATTCTAAGCTGGACAACAACAGCATTAACCAAAATACTAAAGAATCCACAGCAACCCCTTACAGCACTCTATGATCTCCTGTGTTCTGGATAAGAACAGAAAGCTGCCATTAAGCCACATAAAGTTGGCCTTGAAGCCACAACTGCCATTCTTGAATACTGTACATGGCATCAGTTAAGCCAACAGAAGAGTGTACGACTTGAGATGCAATTCCAGGAGCTTCTTGTGAAGCAATGGAGTCTCATGCCAACCTGAAATGCCTGCCTCCTGAGCATTTTCTCTTTCCACATATGTCCCGGTACATGCGGTTGGAAGTAGAAGCCTGGACTTGACTGCTCTACACAGTGAGAGGAGAGAACTTATCACGCACTGGCTGAGATTCATGGGGGAATAAGGCTGCCAAGAATCAGTATCCAATTGAGATTGAGCAGAACAAACCTGACTCTGTCAGCCACTAGAAACTCCACCAACTTTTATCCATAAATTAAAAAGAATTTTGTCTCTTAGCATGGGATTTATTGGCAAAAGCTTTTAGTGTAGTGTTCCAGATTAAGCAAGAAATATTTTGAGGAAATTATTTTTGTGGTAAGCTCAGTTTAAGAACCAAAGGAAGCCAGGCACTAGTGGCTCACGCCTGCAATCCTACCAGCTCAGAAGGCTGAGATCTGAGGATCATGGGTTGAAGTCTGCCTAGGCAAGAATGTCTGTGAGAATTTTATCTCCAATTAACCATTACAAAGGCAGAAGTAGAAGTGTGGATAAAGTGGTAAAGAGCCACCCTTAAGGAAAAATGATGAGGACAGTGCCCAAGCCCTAGTTCAAAACCCAGTACAGGACCAAAAATTGTTTAAACAAACAAAAATACTAAAAACTAAGAAAAAAGATTGGAGTATATAGGGGGAAAAAGCCAGAAAAGGTCATGGTATCTAAATGGTAGCACCCTGGGCATAAACAGTAATAAACTCGCTTGATAATAAATAACTTTAATTGTGCTAGATGGTTTGGTCTGTGTTATTATGCTAGTCAGAAAGTCATTGCTCTTTTTGGATCTATCACCAATATAAACCCCCAAATACATGACAGTGATTTGGCTACAGACATCTAAAAACTACACCAAAAGACTGAAGTGTTTTTACCATTCTAGAGAGAATTCCACAGCACATATAACATATGACCTAGTTCATCTCTAAATAAAGGGACTAGGAAACAAAAACTACAGTCAAAAATTTTAAAAACTTAGGGGCTGGGGGTTTAGCCCAGTGGAAGAGCGCCCGCCCGGCGCGCACAAGGCCCTGGGTTTGGTCCTCAACCCTGGGGAAAAAAAAAAAAAGCTACAAAAAAACAAAAGAAATTTTTTTTAAACTTAAAGTGAATGTGGATTAATACCTAATTTTGTTAATACCTAATTTTGTGTGTGTGAGAGAGAAAGAGTCCTAGGGCTTGAACTCTGGGCCTTGAGTACGCATTACTTGACTTTTTTGCGCAGGCTGGCATTCTATCACTTAAGCCATAGCTCCACTTCCAGCTTTTAGGTGAATAAGTGCAGAGAAGAGTGTCATGAACTTTTTAGCCTATGCTAGCTTTGAACCATGATTCTCAGATCTCAGCCTCCTAAGTAGCTAGGATGACAGGCATGAGCTACCAGTGCCCCAACTTAACCAGAAGTTTTCCCACTAGGAAATGCAAACAAGGCTACTATTCCACTTTAAGCAATCTTTTACAATTTTTCCTGCTGTGCTTCAGTTCTCACTCTCTTATGGGGACCACACTCAACCTGTGGTTGGAGTTGCCATTACTGCTCCAGGAAACTCTTGAAAATTCTGATGTATCTAAGTTTATCTTTAAACAAATAACTAATACATTTTTACTTTGCTGTGGCTTGAGGTATTTAAGAAGCAAGCAACATACTTCAATAAATATACCTGTGATGATGAACACACTGCTAATTGTCACTAGTACATTAAAATATTCATAAGAAGGAAAATCTCACACTCAAGATTTTCTTTTCAGGCTGGGAAGGTGGCTCAGTGGTAGAGCGCTTGCCTTGCATGCCTGAGGCCATGGGTTCGATTCCTCAGCACCACATAAGCAAAAAGAAAAAAGCTGGAAGTGGCACTGTGGCTCAAGTGGTACAGCGCTAGCCTTGAGCTGAAGAGCTGAGGGACGGCGCCCAGGCCAGAGTTCAAGCCTCACGACCGGACCCAAAAATAAAAATAAAAATAAATAAATAAATAATAAAAATAAGATTTTCTTTCAAATCAATAGGATTCTTTTATTGATTGCATCACGGAAGTATCAGAAACTGGTCAGGATCCAAAACAGTCTCCAAAGATGTAGTAACTTAGATCTTATTCATCAGCCTGTTGAACTGCTCCTTTTTCAGAAACATAGATACCATCCAAAAATTTTCTGATATCCTTGTTTTTAACTGTTGTTGCTTGCTGAATTTGAGACAAGTTCAGAATCATTTCCTTCAAAGATTAATTCCTCTTTCTGGGGTTAAGAGAATGAACAAGCAACACCTGTCCTCATCTGAACTCTTTTCTTCACTGAAGAAGGTTCGGATTTCAACTAGAGACCCATTCTCCTGAATAATGACATTGATGGGGAAGTGAGCATACAAAAAGCTCATCTTGTAATGAAAGCTGAGAGTAACACCCTTGATCATGTTCTGCACATGACTACAGATAGTGCACATGGAAGCCAGTTCCTTTCTGTTTCCTCACCATTCATCAACCAGGAGCCTCTTCTGTTTCTTTCCAAGGAGGCTGAGTTCTACGTTGATGTGGTTGAAATCCCTCTGCAGGGTTCCACGGGGACCCTTCACAATCACCATGCGACCCTTCAGAGTGATGTCAACATTTTCTGGAATGTGGACAGTCTGATGGCTGAGAATGGTCTTCATTCTCCCAATAGATGGGGCAAAGAGCGCAAGGTTTTCTTGAATTCTCAAAAATGTGATGAGAAGAAGAGTTCCCTGGATTCCCTTCCACACCTGTGCTGGCATAAATTCACACCACCAGGCTGGGCACTGGTGGCTCACATGTATAATCCTAAATATTCAGGAGGTTGAGATCGGAGGAACAAGGCTCAAAGCCAGCCTGGGCAGAGAAATCCTGGGATTCTTATCTCCAATTAACTTGCTAAAAGCTAGGCATGTGGCTCAGGTAGTAGGATGCCAGCCTTGAGCAAAAATGTCAAGTGAGAGTGCCAAGATATTGAGTTCAAGCTCCAGTATCAGTCAGAGCGCGCACGTGCGCGCGCGCGCACACACACACACACACACACAATAAATAAAATTTTAAAATTAACAAAAATTAATTCATATGAAGGAGATGAGGTGTGGCAGAGCATGCGCATTCCTAGGAAAGGGAGCGGCCTCTCTTTTGATGCTGGAAGCTTCATAGATCATGGCCCATGACCCTATCTTCAAAGAATCACACATGACACGGGCCTTCTTTTGCTTCCTCTAGCTATAACTTTCTCTTTCTGTCTCTCTCTCTCTCTCTCTCTTTTTGGTAGTCGTGGGGCTTAAACTCAGTGCCTGGGCACTGTTCCCGAGCTTTTTTTGCTCAAGGCCAGTACTCATTTGAGTCACAGCACCATTTCCACTTTTCTGGTGGTTAATTGGAGATAAGAGTCTCATGGAGTTTCATACCCAGGCTGCCTTCAAACCACAATCCTCAGATCTCTGCCTCCTGAGTGGCTAGGATTACAGAAGTGAGCCACCAGCAACTGGGTTATTCCTTTATTATCCCATTTCATATAGGCCAAGAAGGGAGAGAGGGACAGAGCACAGAAGAACAGGAAAAAGATGAGAAGGGAAGGGAAGGAGCAAAAGGAGGTGTACATTTTCCTTCTCCAGGCATCACCAGCCACAGAGCAGGCAATAATGAACAGTGAAGAAATGCCCACCAACACCCGGGCTAGTACCTCATGCGGGCCCACAGGGCTCTTGGGGATACCGGAAATCCACTGCTTTTGGGTTCTGGTGGCAGGGGGGAGTGGCTGCCACCCCAAGCCCCTTTGTGCGGGAGCCGCTGCCTCCCGTTCTCTCTGTGGGTGTGGGGTGGCAGGGCGCAGGTGCTGGGGCTCCCAGGCTGCTGAGGGCTGTGCTCAGGGAGGACTCCATTGCTCCTGAGTGGACAACAGAAGAGTGGATAAACAAAGTTAATATGAACAATTCCTTGTGCTAAGAAACACCAGACTGTTTTCTTACCTTTGTCCCCAAGGCCCCTCCCTGAAAGCAACCACAGTCAAGACTTTGAGCCCGTTATTTCAGACACTAACTTAAAAAAACAAAAACAAAAAACTCTCTTTTTTACAATTTTTGGAGTTTATCATTGACTTCCTACCATAGTAGACTAGGACTTAGTCCCTCTTTACTCACAAACACACACACATATACGCATGCACACACACATATATGCATGCATACTTTTTTATCTATCACCTTCAACTATTATTTCTTATACTATTTAATTCACATGGTGTTCCAGATTTTTGTTATTTTGATCATGTAAAATATTATTGATCCCATGTACTCTGATAACATTTTTCTACCAGAAATCCTCTGATAAATAATTTATAACCACCAGATAGACAAAAACAAAATTTATACGTTAGCCAGGTGCTGGTGGGCTCATGATCACTGCTTACAAGTTTGTCAGCCTCTTATTCCCAGTAAACCAGTAAAAAGCCAAAAGTGGAGGTATGACTCAGGTGGTAGAGTGTCAGTTGTGAGAGGAAATAACTAAAGGACAGTGCCCAGGCTCTGAGTTTAAGCCCCAGTACTAGAACAAAAAGCAGGGAGTGGTGGAGAGGAAGCGAAGGAAGGAGGCGGGGGAGTAACAAGAAGACAACTGTGGGGAAAAAAGAGGGCCCTCAAGATTGTCCTCTGAAAGCAAGGCTGGTGATGCCACTGTTTCCATCCGTTGAAAGAAATCAAAGGTGCTCCTCATCCAGGGCCAGGGGAGGGGCTTTGGTTCATGGGCAATTTTGCGCCAAGCTTGTGTTAAAGTGATTACTGAGATCCTTCCTTTATATGTGTTTAAGATTTACAAAATGCCAAAAGAGTGCTACATGCTTAAATTATCCTCGTGTATCACACTCCCAGACAGAAATGTGATACAAATCTAACAGCACAGTGTAGGTGATGTGATTTAAAAAACAAAAAAATTATTTTCAAAATCAAATTCTTCATTGACCAAGGCAAAATAAATCCAGGACATTATAAGGGTTAAGGATCTTAGGCCAGACACTGGTGGCTCACACCTGTAATCCTAGCTACTCATGAGGCTGAGATCTGAGGATTGAGATTCAAAGCCAGCCTGGGCAGGAAAGTCCATGAAACTCTTATCTCCAATGAACCACTAGAAAACTGGAAGTGGCACTGTGGCTCAAGTGGAAGAGTGTTTGCCTTGAGCACATAGAGCTCAGGGACAACACCCAGGCCCTGAGTTCAAAACCTACAACTGACAGAAGAGAAAGAAAGAAAGAGAGAGAGAGAGAAGAAGGAAGGAAGGAAGGAAGGGGAGAAAGAAAGAAAGGAAGGGGAGAAAGAAAGAAACAAAGAAAGAAAGGAAGAAAGAAAGGGGGGAGAAGGGAAGGAGGGAGGGAGGGAGTGGAAGGAAGGAAGGAAGGAAAAACAGATCTGAGCCAGATGTGACTCAATACCAATAACCATAGTTATTTATAAGACTGAGATCTGAGAATATCAGTTCAAAGCCAGCCTGGGAAGACAAATCTGAGAGACCCTTCTCTCCAATTAACCTGCAAACATTCAGAAGTGGAGCTGTGGCTCAAGTGGTAGGGCACCAGCCTTGAGAGGAAAAAGCTAATGAAGCAAGAAGGCCCTGAGCTCAAGCTCTAGTACTATCACACAGGAAAAAAGTCTGCATATAAAATTGGTAGTAATTATGAATTTAATAGGAGAGAAGCATTAGCGGTGTGTGCTTCAATTTTTAATATGCCTTATTCTTACCAACTGTAATCCACAGACTAAATGAACATTCCTTACCCTTTTAAATGTAAATGGGCAACTGAGTGTTGTTGTTGTTTGTTGTCAGCTGTGGGGCTTGAACTCAGGGCCTGGGCACTGCCTCTGAGTTCTTTTGTTCAAGATTAGCACTCTATCACTTTGAGCTACAGCTCCACTTCCAGTTTTCTAGTGGTTAACTGGAGATAAGAGTCCCACAGACTTTCCTATTCAGGCTGGCTTTGAATGTGATCCTCAGGTCTCAGCCTCCTGAGTAGCTAGGATTATAGGTGTGAGCCATCAGTGTCCCGCTATAAGCTTGTTTTATCTTGAAAATAATGTACTACGTATTCAGGTATGATTTAGACAGGCTTCTTATAGAACTCCAATAAGGCACTTCCTAAAACTTTTATGTAACATCATGGGCAAGCACATAGGTTCTAAGTGAGCGGTGTTACTTGATGGATGATGTTCCATTGAACTCAGAGATTCAGGCAAGCTGTTAATAAATACAATCAATTCTGTGTGAATTAAGATATTCTCAGTAGCAGGCAACTAAAACGCACTGGCAGTATACATTTTCAGTTAAGATACTTTTTTATTTCCCAATCTGCAGCTCCTTAACTTTACAGTCCTAACAAAACTTCATAAAATGTAAGGAGTCCAAACAGATATAATACATTTATCTTAATGAAATAGGTCCTGTTATATTACAATCTAAGGTGAGATTATATTTTGTTTCTATTTCTATTTATTTTCAATGGAAGTTCAGAAGCTAGCATTTTAAGGAATTCTCTACTAGACAGCACTTGATATCAAAAGTGTAAAATGCAGCCAGGGGCACTGGTGGTTCATACCTTTAATCCTAGCTACTCAGGAGGCTGAGATCTGAAAGATCATGGTTCAAAGCCAGCCTGAGCAGGCAAATCCAAGAGAGTCTTATCTCCAATTACTCAGCAATAAGCCAGAAGTGGAGATGTGGCTCCAGCAGTAGAGCACCAACTTTGAGCAAAAAAAGCCAAGCCAGGGCATGAGGCCCTGAGTTCCAGTCCTAGTACCAGCACCAAAAAAATGTACAAAATGACTTACACCGTGTCTTCCTTGTAGGAGGGAGAGAAGAGGTCATAAACCAAGCATACTCCAAACACTGTGATGCCTGTCTCTTTAACCAGCATAGCGCAGGTCCCCAGGAGCAGACTGAGCAGCAAGAAGATGGGAGAACCGGTGGGAGGAAACCTTTCCCCAGCACAGCACTGACCCAGACTTCTGGAAAACACAGTAGTACATTCTTTTAACCTAAGAAATGTGGGCCACAAAGACATCTTACCTTTTACAGATAAGATTTAGTAACAATGTTGCTGTCCCCTAGGCAATTAAGCAGCTCAGCAAAGCTTTCTTCAAGGCATTCATCATATAATTAGTTAAAATTGCTACGGTAGAGCTGGATGCTTACAACTATACTCTTAGCTACTCAGCAAGCTGAGATCTGAGGATCATGGTTCAAAGCCAGCTCAGGAAGCAAAGTCTGTGATACTCTTATATCTAATTAGTCACCAAAAAGTCAGAAATTGAGGGCTGGGAAGGTGGCTCAGTGGTAGAGCACTTGCCTTGCATGCATGAGGCCCTGGGTTCGATTCCTCAGCACCACATAAGCAAAAAGAAAAAAGCCGGAAGTGGCGCTGTGGCTCAAGTGGTAGAGCGCTAGCCTTGAGCTGGGAAAGCACCCAGGCCCAGAGTTCAGGCCCCAAGACCAGACCCCAAAAAAAAAAAAAAAAGTCAGAAATTGGAACTGCGGCTCAGTTGGTAGAGCACCAGCCTTGAGAGTGAAGCGGGTGAAGGAGGCAGCTACGGGACAGCACTCAGTCCTTGAATTCAAGCCCTAGTACCTAAATAAGTAAACACTGCTAAGTTGGAAAAACATACTAAATTTGGTACTTAAATTATAGTACATGCAAATTGTTCCAAAATCTAGTATGTTAAACAATAAATCTATATAAAGACATTAAAATGATACCTTAGAGACTTAATTCAAGAGATGGAAAGATACTTAGGTGAATACTTTTTGAGTATGTTGGCACTGGAGCTTGAATTCAGGGCCTGGATGCTTTCCCTTAGATTTTTGCTCAAGGCAGGCACTCTACCACTTGAGCCACACCTCCACTTCTGTCTACTTAATTGGAGATTAGAATCTCTTGATTTGTCTATCCAGACTGGCTATGAACTATGACCCTCAGATCTCAGCCTCCTGAGAAGCTAAGATTACAGGTGTGAGCCACCAGCACCTAGCTTTAAGAAAATACTTGTATGTGGGTAGTAACAGGCTTTAAGTGAATCACATATGAGCAAGCTCTAGAGCCAGATTCTCTATTTCAAATCAGAACCCCCGACCCGTGTTTAACCAAAACAAAGCAAGAAATGAGACCACAGCTTTTTATGGAGGACTGAATCAACCATTATCACATGCTGAGTATTTATTGTCATCATGATTACTTGAGCAAAGAACATTTATATGCTTCTGCATACCAAACAGTGAAGATACATATATATATGTGTATATATACATCTATATATACACATATATAGATGTATATATCGAGAAAAAAATGGATAAACTGGTTTCTTTTCTTTTGACTAATCTATATTTTTTAATTTATTTTTTCATGAACATGTATTGGGTAGTGTTTATTTGTCCTCAGTATAATTTCCAGAGGGATTTCCAAAATCTCTGTGGTGCTGTTTTCTACCCTATAAAACAGAATTGGCCCTAAGAGCTCGGTCTTCTCAGCAGGTGTCATACCCCTTGGGTCCCTAGAGCTTTGAGACAAAGGCTGATACTCTGTGCTTGTGCTATTTCCTCCTTCTTAGAATAATTGTGTCACCAAACATGCAGAACTGAACATGGATGCCATTTTCTCTGGAGTTGGTCTACTGCTTTAATTCCTTAAAGCAAGCAGGGTGTGCACAGTTAATCTGTAACCATATGGCTTTTGGTCACACCCATGTATAGGGCTAACCCCAGATATAGTAACCATGCAGGAAAGCCCAGGAAAAGGGATTGTGTGTGTGTGTGTGTGTTGGTACTGAGATTTGAACTAGGGGCCTGGGTGCTGTCCCTTAGCTTTTGTACTCAAGACTAGTGCTATACCATTTGAGCCAGCTCCACTTGTAGCTTTCTTCTGGTTAACTGTGGGAAAGAGTTTCATGGACTTTCCTGCCCAGGCTGGCTTTGAACCAGGATCCTCAGATTTCAGCCTCCTGAATAGTTGAGATTACAGGTATATGCGAACTGAGAAGTTATTTTTAACTAGGAGCAACTTCCTCTCATCTCTTGTGTATTAGTTACTTTTGTGTAGCTGAAACCAAAATGCTGCAGAGTAACTTAAAGGGAAAAGTTTTATTTTGGTCCATGGTTTCAAAGGGTTGCTTGAAGCAATGATGTTCTGCCCAAGTGAATGGGACTGAACCGATAGTTTACAATAGCATTCCTAAAACACAGTCACTGGGATTTGTAATAAGGGTCAAAATCTAATCCTTACCCAGGCATCTCTCCAGGGAGTAAGTGGCATAGTTGGCCTGCCATGCCCAGAGCCCTCTGCTCCCACTCACGTTCTTTAATCCACAACTTTAATGTCAGAACTCAGGTGAGAACTCATCATTTGCAGGATTTTAAGCACAACAGAAAAGAAATGATGAAAATCATTTCATCTTTTGATGAAATCCTTCTAAGTTGGAAAAGCACAGTTGAGAAATACTACTGTCTAACCTGTTATGTTAAACTTTAGTGAGGATAATAAAGAAAGACTAAAAGACAGGAACCAAATGAGAAGAAATTAAATGACAGACAAACCGTCCAGAATATTATACCCTCCCCTCAATAAATTCTGGCTCAAAGCAAAGATTCTAAATTCCATTTCCAGACAGACACTACAAGTAAAAGGAACTGAGAAGCAAAAGCTTAGAGTCCTCTCATTGGAGAAGTCTCCATAGCTATGGTTCCAAGAGGAGCAGGAAATAGCCAGACAGTCCCCTGATGCTCCTGAGCTCAGCACAGCATGACTGTAGTCTCAGGAGGTGGTCCCACCCTTACCTGTTGTAGGAGAGGAAGGCCAGCAGAAACAGAAGGCAGGCCAGCACATCCGCTCTGCCCACAATCCCAGCCACCTAGGAAGTCCAACACAACAGCAAAATTAAAAACCAAAAGATTACTCAACTACTGTCAAAAAATCTTATGGAAGCGTATTTGTTTTCGATGAAAGAAAGGTGTAATAAAACAGAAAGCACACTATTCTTCCAATTCCCACATATGGCCACCTCTGGTGGCCTTGGATTATTATACATACTTTAAGTGAAGCATACAAAAAAGTCGATTGAAGAAGAAAAAGAATGGAAGGGGAGAGTTTTTCATGCTTAGTTGTATTTCTAGCCTCTATTTCATGAGAGTCACTTAATATAGCATCGAAGTTTATTTACTTATTGACCTCTTCTTAAAACAAATCTTAAGCCAGGTACTGGTGGCTCACATTTGTAACCCTAACTACTCAGGAAGCTGGGATCTGAAGACCACAGCTGGAAGCCAGCCTAGACAGAAAATGGTAGATCACCAGCTTTGACTGAAAAAGATAACCTGGGTCCAAGATCAAGCCCCAATAGCAACACAGGAAAAAGAGAAGAAGAAGGAGGAGGAGGAGGAGGAAGAATAGAAGGAAGAGGAAGAGGGGGAGAAGAAGAAGAAGGAAAACGAGAAGTAGAAGCAGAAGGAGAAACAATAGGGGAAGGAGAAGCAGAAGCAGAAGGAGAAGCAAAACGAGAAGCAGGAGAAGCAGAAGAAGAAGAAGGAGGAGGAGGAGAAGAAGGAGAAGGAGAAGGAGAAGAAGGAGAAGAAGAAGGAGAAAGAGAAGGAGAAGGAGGAGAAAGAGGAGGAGGAGAAATTAAAAAACCCATATATATATATATGTTTGTAAAATGTGTTTTTTTTATTTGTAGAAAGTACATAGTTCTGTATATATAGTTTTTGTGGGTTTTTTTAGGGGGGGTTGGTTGGTTGTGGGGCTTGAACTCTGGGCCTGGGTACTGTCCCTCAGCTCTTCAGCTCAAGGCTAGTGCTGTACCGCTTGAGTGCCACTTCCGGTTTTCTGATGGTTTATTGGAGATAAAAGTCTCATGGACTTTGCTGCCCAGGCTGGCCTTGAACTATGATCCTCAGAGAGGATCCTGAGGGACAGTACCCAGGCCCAGAGTTCAAGCCCCACAACCAACCAACCCCCCACTAAAAAAACCCACAAAAACTATATATACAGAATTATGTACTTTCTACAAATAAAAAAAAAACACATTTTACAAACAAATTTATTCCTGGTGGGCAATTTCCATATTTGATGCTGTTAACCTTCATCTATATGACACATTTCAGGTTGACATCCCTAATCTAAATATCAAAAATGCTCCACGAGCTGATAATTGTTACATGAGAGTTGGCATGGCATTAGAAGAGGAAAGTCTCCATACCAGACATCATGTGCGATACATCAGTCACACTGTAAGTAGGCCAAAAATACGCATACAATTATCCTCAGTGGGGCACAGTAGCTCACACCTGTAATCCCAGATAGTTAGGAGGCTAAAATCTAAGGATCAGAGTTCAAAGGTGGCTAGGGAAGATAAATCTGAGAGAAATATCCAATCCACCACCAACAACAACAACAACAAAAAACAGAAGTAAAGGTGTAGCTCAAGTGGTAGAGTACCCACCTTGAGCAAAAAAGCCAACTGCAAGCACAGCAACCCTAGTTCAAACTCCAAAACCAGCACACACAGAAATTACCTTCAGATTCTGTGCATAGAGTGTATAGAGACATATGCATGAATTTTGTGCTTAGGCATGAGTCTCATTGATATTTCATTGTGTACATGTAAATATTTAAAATTTGAAAAATTTCAGACTCTTAGATGTTCCAGTACAAGCATTTCACATAAATGATACCCTGCCAGTTTCAAAAGCTGCTGTTAGCTGATATTTTCCCAGTCTTTTTTTTTCCAGAAAAGGTATTTATTTTTTATTTATTTATTTTACTAATGAAAGGCAGCCACAAAAAAAAACACTCAGCTTATTAATTGTATAGATTTTTCTTTTTTTAATGAGTATCCTTTTTATTGTAAAAATTCTGTACAGAGTACAGTTACATGAGCAAGGTAACGTTTCCTATAAAGCCTGAACTAGACTAGCTTGAACTTAAGGCCTTATGCTCTCATTTGGCTTTTACACTGAAGGTAGACACTATCACTTGAGCTACAGCTCCATTCCCAGCTTTTTCCTGGTTAAGTGTAGATCAGAGTCTCACAGCCTTTCCTGCCAGAGCTGGCTTTGAACCACCAACCTCAGATCTCACTCTCCTGAGTCTAAGGTCTTGGAGTCAACTTGCAATTAAGTCCCCACCCTGTGTCCATACCTGTTTACAAAGTACTATTAAGCTTCTATTTCCCTGACCCTGTACTGTTTTCCCAGTGTGATGTATAAATTCTTGCTCCAGCTGCAAGAGTCTCATTACACTCCTCAGAACTGACTCTCCCCCACATTCCCATTACACTCCTTCTCAGAACTGACTCTCCCCCAAATGCCCACGTAATATGACCCATGTGACTACCCCTTACGTTTTGTTTAAATTCCACCCACACCTGTCCACAGCTGCTGCCTCCATTCCTGCTTGGAGCAGCCTTGAACCCCTATCAGTCACTCGCCTCTCATTTCTTATACTGAGTAGCTAGGATTTACAGGCATGGCATAAGCCACTGGAACCCAAACAGAATTGTTAACATTTATTTATTTTATCTGTAAGAACAAGTTTCATTAGCATCAATCAGGACCAGGAATGCAGACTTAACGAGTCCACAGCCACAAGCCAGACAGACTAATTAGATTATAACTCATTTTTCCAATGAGGACCTGTCCCTGTTCTGGGAATGTCATCCTTAATTCCAGCTCCATGTGTCAGCACTCCTCCCCAACACCCCACTCCAATCCTCCCTTCTCTCCCTCCCTCCCTTCCTTCTTTATGTACAGGTTCTAGGGCTTGAACCCAGGGCCTGACGCTGTCCCTGAGCTTCTTTTGCTCAAGTCTAGCACTCTACCACATGAGCCACAGCTCTACATCTGGCTTCATTGGTTAAATGAGAGTAAGAGTCTTACGGACTTTCCTGCCCAGGCTGGCTTCAATCTGAGATCCTCAGATCTCAGTTTCCTGCATAGCTACAATTCCAGGCATGAACCACTGGCACCTGGCTGTTCCTACTTTCAATTAAACGTAAATACATTCCTTCAAACCAGTAAAGTCTCTCTGATGATCAAATTTGAGTTTCCAGGGGAGAATTATAATAATTTCTCCTATTTTGTCAATTACTCTGCTTTTTCTGATGATTCAGAATTCAGAAAACTATTAATGTCCAAAGAAATGCTTCAAACTGAGATCCTCAGATCTCAGCCTACTGAGGAGCAGGATATTAAGTGTGAGCCACCAGCGCCAGGCTTAATGCTTTGTCTTGTAGCATATCACGTGTCTGTACTTTGGCTCTTGTATGGGCTGCAAAGCAGCTATGGGAGCAGCCCCTTATCCATCCCTGTGTTCACCTGGTACCTCCTAGAAGGTCCCACACCAAGCACACTGTCATTAGCCACTTGTGAATTATGTAACTAACAACCATACCAACAGGTTCAGACACACATCAGTGTATTTAAACTGAAGCCCATTCTCCAGATTTAAATTCTCCACCCATCTGGGGCTAACTTCTAAACCCATTTTTGTTCTTAACTAAGGAAGAAAAAGGTTCCAGTAACTCCTTCCCCCACCCCACCAGTGTCTTTTGTGTGTGTTTTAACAATTTATACAACATCATCTATAATGCACATCTCTTTTTAATTCTCTACCTCTACTTCAGAAACCTGAACTGAAATCTATGAATTAAACAGCAGTCCCTCTCTCTTTTACTTTGTAGTGTAAATTATTAGGAAGGTCAAAATCCTTTGTGTCTACCTTATATATCTCTCTTGTAAATGTAAATATCTTCTCTAAATAAATACCAGCTCTCTGAATTCTTTGCCTCTTTCATTGTACTTCTATGGATTGTTTGGTTTTGTTTTTTGATTAGAACAAAAGGCTTTTGAACCCCTTTTCAAGAGATTTGTTAATAGAATTTGCCTCTTTTCTTCGAATGTAACTCAAGCGTTACCAGCTCATTATCACACTGTCTAAAGCTGCCTGCCTTTCTTCCCTGCCACTCCTAAATTCACACTGTTATTGTACCCTGTGCCAGTGGCTCACACTTAGAACACCAGCTTCTCAAGAGGCTGAGATCTGAGGATCCAGGTTCGAAGCCAGCCTGGGAAGAACAGTCCATAAGACCCTTATCTATAATAAGCCAGCAAAAAGCTGGACATGGAGGTGTGACTCAAGTGATAGAGTGCCAACCTTGAGTGAAAAAACTAAAGAACAGCATTCAGGTCTCGAGTTCAAGTACTAGTACTGGCACACATACAAAAAAAAAACAAAAACAAAAACAAAAAACTGTTACTGTCCTATCATTTTGGTCTTTTCTGTGATCAATCTCAAGTACATATTTTCAACTATATTTTTAAAACTGTCAGAAAAGTCATGTTGTCTCTGGCAATAGATTAGAGCTTGCCAGTGGCCTAATGCCACATGGTCAGTATGGTTAAAATGGCAATCTGTGACTAATACCTTCAATTTGTCACTGCACTTTTAAATAGTTGAAAACAAGTAACTGCTCATACACTGTAAATGCCAGCATCTGAAAATAAACCCATCTTGTTGTTTTAAATGTACATAGTGAAAATCGAAATACCTACCGTAGCAACTCCATGCTCCTCATCTTACATCTGTACAAGCAAGACCTTATTTCAATAGCCAACACCAGCAGGACACAGGTGGCTCACGCCTGTAATCCAAGCTACTCAGGAAGTTGAGATCTAAAGATGAAGATTCCATACCAGCCCAGGCAGCAAAGTCTGTGAGACTTATCCCTAATTAACCAGCTAAAACTGAGAAACAGAGGCATGGCTCAAGTGGTAGAGCACCAGCCTTGAGCTAAAAAACCATGGAAGAGCAAGAAGCCCTGAGTTCAAATCCCAATACGCACGTGCATGCATGCACACATGCGCAGACAGACAGACAGGCAGACAGACAGGCAGAAACACACACACACACAGCCGACATTATAGCCTCTAGTCTCCTTGAACTCATCCTTCCATTGTGTATTCCCCTTAGTATTTGTTCTTAATGTATTACAGTTATGTTGAAATGTGTTTTTGTTGGGTTTTTTTTAGTTTAGTTTTGTTTTTTTTGCCTATTCTGGGGCTTGAACTCTGGGTCTGGGCTCTGTCCCTACGTTTTTGTGCTCAAGACTAGCACTCTTACCACTTTAGCCACAGCTCCACTTCTGGCTTTTTGTGGTTAACTGGGTATAAGAGTCTCATCGACTTTTTCTGCCAGGGCTGGATTACAACTGCAATCCTCAGATCTCAGCTTCCTGAGCAGCAAGGATTACAGGTAGGAGCCACTGATGTCCTGCAAAACGTGTTTATCATCTTTTCTTCTTGAAATAAAGAATGTGTGTTTGCACATGTTGTGTCTGAGGATGTTAGACAAGTTCCCAAGGCTGAGCTTTATACATAATCTCTAATTGTTTCTTACATTTCCTGTGACCCTCAATTCCCTATTCCAATTACTATTCTTCTTAATTGGAATTATTAATTGGATTAAGACATCATAATAAAAGTTATAAGTGATTGTTAAAGATAAAAATTTAATCTTAATATTATGAGGGTAGCTGATTTCATTTCAACCCATTCAGTTACTGGTGGATGATTCTTACATGTTTTAGAATAACAGGGTCATTGCAGGTGACCCTAGAAGTCATCGTGAGGAATGACTAGGAAACGAGGTCATTTCTAGTTTCATCTTCACATGAATAGATGTCTCTGTTCTAGGCCAATAATTTAATTCTCTGAACTCCAAACCATCAGCAATAATCTCACAGTAATCTATTGTCTCATGTAAGTTTTTATAATCCACCAATTGACAAACCAACCAGTTCCTCCTTAATTTGCTCCTAAGAATTTAGATACATCCATTATTAGAAGTACCTATCCAAAGAGCCATTAACTTAAATAGTTTTGCAGAAACATAGCAAATAAGAAAAACAAAAACAAAAAAAAGGCCTTAGCAAGACCTATGGAGCAGCTCATACCTGTAATCCTATTCAGGAGGCTGAGACCTAAGGGCCAAACTTCAAAGCCAATTGTAGCAGACAAAACTGAGACTCTTGTCTCCAATTAGCCAGCAAAAAAGATGGAAGTGGAGGTATGGCTCAAGTGGTAGAGTGCCAGCCTTAAGCAGAAAAGTTAACAGAGTAAGAGTGTGAGGCCCTGAGTTTAAGCTGCAGTACTTGCAGAAAAACAAAACAAAAAAATGTCAGCAGCCAGGCTCCAGTGGCTCACACCTGTTATCACAGCTACTCAGGAGGCTGAGAGGGCTGGGAAGGTGGCTCAGTGGTAGAGCACTTACCTTGCATGCATGAGGCTCTGGGTTCCATTCCTCAGCACCACATAGCAGAAAACAAAATCCAGAAGTGGCACTGTGGCTCAAGTGATAGAGCGCTACCCTTGAGCTGAATAGCTGAGGGACAGTGCCCAGGCCCAGAGTTCAGGCCCTATGACCGGACCCCCCACCCCAAAAAAAGGAGGCTGAGATCTGAGGATTACAGTTCAAAACCAACCCGAGCAGAAAAGCCCCATGAGATTCTTATCTCCAATTAACCACTAAAAAACTGGAAATGGCTCTATGGCTCAAAGAAAGAGCTCAAAAGAGCTCAGTGATAGCACCCAGGCCCTAAATTCAAGCTCTGCAACATACAGCAATGGGAAGCTGTGACCACTGATTACTGCCTGTAATGGCATCAATGTGCCTCTTCAATAGTGCATTCCAGAATGCAAGAAAACCAATGTGAACACTCAAAAGGTGCAGATGATGTAATCCTAGCTACTTAGGAGGCCAAGATCTGAGGATCATGGTTCTAAGCCAGTCAGGAAAGTCCATGAGACTCATATATCTGATAAACTACCAAAAGCAACTAGAAGTAGAATGTGGCTCAAATAGTAGAGTGCTAGCCTTGAAGAAAAGAAGCTCAGGGAGAGAGCCCAGGCCCAGGGGTCAAGGCCCAGGACTGGCCCACACAAAGTAAATAAATAAACCAAGGTGACAGGCAGAAAGATTTATACATGAACACTTGAGCAGAGCTTTGAGCTCAGTATGAAAGGGGAAAGAGGAGTCAGCTGATCTGAACAAACACATCTTCTGGCCACGATGATCCACTCACCGCCTCTGTGTGAATGGGATGCACAGCGAAGAGCAGCGCCGTGAGGAAAGCAAGGCCACGCTTCCTGAAGACCATCTTCTCACAGGTGTGCATCAGCACCAGCGTCACGAGGCAGTGGAACACCACGTTCACTGCGTGGAAGTAGAAAGGGTCCATGCCAGTCAAAAATACATTCAGCCTGGGATAAGGAAAAACGAAAAATAGAAACACCTATCTTAGCAAACACACCACCTAAGCAATAGGAGAGCACTGTTTAAGGTATTCAAACTGGAGGCCAGTGGCTCACGCCTACAATCCTAGCCACTCAGAAGGCTGAGATCTGAGGATCATGGTTCAAAGCCATTCCAGGCAGACAAATATCCGAGAGTCTCTTATCTCCAATTAACCAGCAAAAAGTCAGACGTGGAGCTAAGTCTCAAGTAGTAGAACACCAACTTTGAGTAAAAGAAGTCAAATAAGAGTGCAATGCCCTGAGTTCAAGCTCAAATACCGGCAAAAGGTAAACATATAAACAAACAAAAGAAGCTATTATTTTTACAGGATTCCCAACACAGGATCCTCTTATGAATTTGCCTGGGTGCCATATTTTCCCTGTCTGTGAATTATCTGAGAACAATGTCAATCAATAGGCAATTTATTACACTAGCATTACTTCACTGAGGCAGAAAGGATTTGAGCCTGTCCTTCCCTATCCATTGCTTCTAGCACTCTTGTTTTTATGGAAGTTTCTCTGGCAAATCTCAGCAACTTACAGTGCTGGGATGAGAGCCACAGCCTCTGGGAATAAACTGATACCAGGAGACCATGGTTGTGGTCACTGGGCAGAAGCATGCTCAGCTAGGCATGGTGCCACGGAACCTTGATTCAGTTTCTGGAAGCGTTGTCTGATTATCACCCACAGGGGAGCTCAGCATCACACAGGATTCACAGCTTCAGCTGAACTGCAAGGACCAGCAGAGCCACCATGCTTCCGTCTATACAACATGTTCTAAAACAAATGCCCACATATTTCTTAATTCAATTGTTAAGACTCACTAAGAAACTAAAAGAAAACCAAAGGGAAAAAGGAAATCGGTTGTTGAACATCATTTAAAAAATATCATGGCCGACACTGGTGGCTCATGCCTGTAATTCTAGCTGAGATCTGAGGATCACAGTTTAAAGCCAGCCCACGCAGTAAAATCCATGAGACTTTTTTTTGGGGGGGGAGGGGACAGGTCTGGTCGTGGGGTCTGAACTCGGCCTGGGCACTGTCCCTCAGCTCTTCAGCTCAAGGCTAGCGCTCCACCACTTGAGCCACAGTGCCACTTCCGGCTTTTTTTTCTTTTGCTTATGTGGTGCTGAGGAATCGAACCCAGGGCCTCATGCATACAAGGCAAGCGCTCTACCACTGAGCCACCTTCCCAGCCCTCCATGAGACTCTTATTTCCAAATAACCACCAGAAAACCAGAAGGAGAGCTATGGCTCAAAGTGGTAGAGTGCTACCCTTGAGCAAAGGAGTTGAGAGACAGCACCCAGGCCCTGAGTTCAAGCCCCACAACCAACCAAAATACTTAATAATAATGATGATTATCTTGATCGTGATGATCAAGATACTGGTTGCTCATGCTTGTAATCCTAACTCCTCAGGAGGCTGAGATCTTACAATCATGATTCAGAGTCAGCCCAAGCAGGAAAGGCAATAAGAAGCATATCACCAATTAGATAGCACAAACAACAACACCAACCAAAAAAAAACAAGTGGAGCTATAGCTCAAGTGGTAAAGCACCAGCTTTTGGGGGCAGGGGGAACAGCAAAAGCTCAAGGCCCTAAGTTCAAGCTCCATTACAGGCACAAAATAATAATTACTACTATTAGTAATAGTAGTATTTTATGAAAGAGAAATGCAGATCAGACACAGCTGAAAGTTGTGTTTAATTTAGTAACAGGATGTAATGTCCCCAAGCTGAGCTTGTGAGTTACAGAAACAAACACCCAGATACAAGACACAATTCTTTGGGGAGCGCATGCATATTCTAAGTGGTGTTGTTTGTAGCTGTCTAGATTCCAATCCATCTTACCAAAACAACACCACTCAGTCTTTGTTCTCCTGCCCTCAATCAACTTCTCTTACAGAACCAATTTGTCTTTGCCAAAATACCCACAAACTATGCCAGGCACCAGTAGCTCAACACCTATAACTCCAGATACTCAAAAGGCTAAGACTTGAGAATTGAGGTTTAAAACTAGCCAGGGCAGGAAAGTCCATGATACTCTTATCTCCAATTAAACAATAAAAAAGCTGGAAGTAGAGGTGTGGCTCAAGTGGCAGAGCACCAGCCTTAAGCAAAAAAGCTAAGAGACACACAGATCTGAGTTCAAGCCTTAATACTAGCACATATACACATGCACTTACACACATACACATACTACTCACAAATATAAATGCCAAATTCCATGACTCATGCACAACTATAACCTTACAGAAGTTTCAACATCTCAAGCTTTATTTGGGCACTTGACTCCAAATACCATAATTACTAATTAACTCTGCTTTCACTCCCTCTGAAGCAGTCACAGCACAAAACTAGACCTAATAAAATGCATTGTGTGGGAGGAGACCCCAAGGCACAGCTACCAGGCTCACGCCAGCAGTGTGCATACAGATCCACAGCCCCAGTCCTTAATAACCCACACAAGGAAGAGAAACAGGCAGAGAACTAGGGGACCAGCTGGGTCCCTCCTTATAATGAAGAACTGAATTACATTCCTGTACAGGAGAACCCACAAGGAGTGAGACAGTTCCTGGAAGCTGGGAAGCTACAAGAAGGGCAAGTCTTGGGTGCTGTCCTCCGAACCTTGGACACAATTCCTAAGGGTCCATCTATGTGTAAGGCTGACTACACACAGCTTTCCACTTCATCAGGCTGTGAGCTCTAGACCAGCTAAGCCAGTCATTTGAAATTCACGCCCATTAACAGTGATGATAAGCAAGATGGCCTCTCACATGCAGTGAGCAGCTGTCCAAGCTGAAGGTCTCCAACTGCCAACACACATGAAGAGTTTTTCAAAGCACATACCCTCTGAGAGAAAATTCCTCTCCTAGTTATCTGCCCTGAAGAAATAATTAACACATATTCGAAGATCTCTCTCTCTCTCTCTCTCTCTCTCTCTCTCTCTCTCACACACACACACACACACACACACACACAAATAATGCATGCTACCAGGTGTAGTGACATATACTTGCAATACTAGCTACTCCTGAGATAGAAGCAAAGGATTCTGAGTTCAAAGCCAGCCTAGACAACGTTAGTGATCCTGGGCACTGGCAGCTCATCCCTTAATCCTAGCTACTCAGGAGGCTAAGGTCTAAGGATCATGGTTTAGAGACAGTCCAGGCAGGAAAGTCCATGAGATTCTTATCTCCAAGTACTCACCAAAAAGACAGAAGTGAAGCTGTAACTCAAGTGATAGAGTACAAGCCTTGAGCAAAAAAAAGCTCAGGAACATAGCCCAGGTCCTTCAAGCCCCAGGACTGGCCAAAATAAAGAAAAGAAAAAAGGGACAAAAAGTTTGGGGGTGTAGCTCAAGTGGAAGACTGCTTTTCTAGCATGGACAGGAACCTAGGTTATTGTATCCCTCTCTCTCTCTCTCTCTCTCTCTCTCTCACACACACACACACACACACACAATGCATGCCAATGTTGATTACAAAAATGGCAGTCTAAAAATATCTAAAAAGGTTTGAATTCTCCAAACTGAAGGCAAGTCCTGACAAAAATCCTAGGATAGATTTGTATTTGTGAGGATAGAGAAGCAGCTCTAACTCTGGGAGCCAATGGTTAACTGATTAATCCTGTGATTTAATAGGACAGGGGATGTGATCCATGGATCCATCTTTACTTTAACAAAGGCATTTATCAAAATATCTTGCAATCTGCCCACACAAACGACAGTCTAGGAGCACAGAGGTGAAGAATGAATCAATGTCTTCTCAGAGTGAGACTTCCAGTGCACGTCACAGTACTCCGTTATTATCTCTGCTCTGCCCAATATTTTCATCAAACACTTAAATGAAACTGTAGTGACTATGCTTATCAAGATTACAAAGTACTCGAGCTGAAAAGTGAAATGTGCTGGCAGCCTACCTGACAAGTCAGACTTTAAATGGCGGAAATTGCTCACTTTAACAGAATTAAATAGAATAGTAAAACTGACCATCTTGGGGATATAAAAGATAACTAAATACTTGCAATTCAGATTAAAAATATACTTGGAGCTGGGCACAGGTAGCACATGCCTGTAATCCTAGCTACATAAGAGGCTGAGATCTGAGGATCATGGCTTAAAGTCAGGCCAGGCAGGAAAGTCAATGAGACTCTTATCTCCAATTAACCACCAAAAAGTGGAGTTGTGGCTCAAGTGGAAGAGCACTGGCCTTCAGGATATTAAAAAAAAATAAAATAAAAAAAGCTCAGTGATAGCACCCAGGCCCTGAGTTCAAGCCCCAAGACCAGCACTTTCAGAATCATCACACACACACACACACACACACACACACACACACACACGTTACCATCCCTTTTCTATAGGTTAGAATTTCATTTCTTTCCACTGTTACATCCATCTCACTTAGTTTCTAAATTAAACTTTACTGAATAAACACATGATGTGCATTATGTTGGATATTGCAAACGATATTTCCCTTCCAATTTTAATATCTTTCATTTTATTTAGTTTAGCCTTCATTTATCACTTAAAAATAAGACAAGCAGTAGAAAATTAAACACTTTTTCCAAGATACTCTTAATACATCTCCAAGTATCTGAAAACCTTCCAAGGTTTGGCAAATATGAGCACAAATCACATCCTTCCCCCTCTGGGATTCCTCCACCTTTTTTTTTTTTTTTTTAGTCGGTTATAGGGCCTGAATTCTGGGCCTGGGGGCTGTCCCTCAACTCTTCAGCTCAAGGCTAGCACTCTACCACTTGAGCCACAGCGCCACTTCCGGCTTTTTCTGTTTATGTGGTGCTGAGGAATCGAACCCAGGGCCTCATGTATGCGAGGCAAGCGCTCTACCATAGCCCTCCTCCACCTTCTTATAAAGCTGGCCAGAAAAGTGGAGTCATAAGCTCACAGCAACAGCTGTTCCCCCACAAGGCCACATTCCTGCCCAGGAAAAGTTACATAGACA